TGGTGAATGACTAGATTTTGGACGGAAGTTATAGTAAGTAGTACTCTAATTATAATAATTCTAGTTACTGGAGAATAAGTGTCAAAATAGTCTGCACCATTCTTTTGTATAAATCCTTTAATAGCCAATCTGGTCTTGAACTTAACAATAGTTCCATCAATCTTCATTTTCTTCTTGAAGATCCACTTACAACCAATTGATTTTAAATCAGATGGTAAGTCTACTAATTTTCAGATTTTATTACCCATAATTGAGTCCATCTCATCACTTCCTTTCAAAAAGAAGAATCTTGTGATTTCATTACTTTTTCCATAGGTCTTGGGATCAGACTCACAATATTGAAGCAATAAGGGATTTGATTGTTCAATATATCTCTAGTTCTTTCGATTAGATACATATAGAAGTCCGTGTCAAAGTCTTTTGACTTTCTAACTCTTTTGCTCGCTTTCAATTCAATGGATTCATTTTCATCATCTTTTGTCAATTCAATTGATTTTGTAATACATCTTTTTATGGAGGTGAACCTATTTTTTTCAAAAATAGCATCCCTAGATTCAATTATGGTATTAACCTAAATTGAGTCATTAGATTCAACTACCAGAAACCTATATGTTTTGTTATTTGTTGCATATCCTAAGAATATACACTCCACACCTCTTTCTCCCAATTTCCTTTTCTTAGGTTTCGAGAGTTTTACAATAACTCTACAATGCCAAACTCTCAAATAGTATATATTAGACTTTCTTTTATTTTAAAGTTTATAAGGGGTTATAGAACTCCTTTTATTAGGAATTCTATTTAAGATATGACAAGCCGTTAACAAAATTTCACCCCAAAATTCTTAACTTAGTCTAGAGTTTAACAAAAGTGCATCAACCATTTTTATCATTACGCGATTTTTTCTTTCGACTACACCAATTTGTTATGATATATAAGTAGCAGTCACCTCATAACTTATTCCAATAGACTCAAAATAGATAACATCATAATACTCTCTATCTCTATCTGTTCTTAAACATTTGATAAAGATTTCACAATGAAAATCAACTTTTGATTTTCATGCTTTGAATTTTTGCATTGTTTCATCTTTTTAGTTTAACAAGTAAACATGATAATATCTAGTATAATCATCAATAAAAGTTACAAAATACTTTTTACAACTCGAAGTAGGAGTGCCATGCAAATATCATACATTGCTGTGAATAAAATTAAGATTTTAGATGATCTTTCAACTTTAGAAAATGAATTTCTTGTGATTTTTGTTAGTACATGTTTTGCATTTTCCTTCATTTTTGTCACAATATAATAGCAAATCAGGTCTCATCATTTTATGCATTCTTCTGTAGTTAATATGACCAAACGTATTATGTTATAATCCAAAAGAAAACTCAACCAAATACGCAGAAATTATATCAATCTTATTATTTCTAATTGTAAGTACATTCAACTTAAACATCCCATTACAATGATAACCCTTACCTACAAACATATCACTCTTAGACAACATAAACTTGTCAAATTCAAACACAAGTCTAAAGCCAAATTTATTCAACAAACTAGCCAACACCAAGTTTTTCCTAACTTTCGGTACATAAAATACATTTGTCAATGTTACAATATTATTGGAAGTAAATTTTAATTCTACTTCTTCATTGTCTTGTAGCAGAATTTTTCATGTAAATAACGGTGCTTTCATCCACCGGTTTCATAGATTTGAAGAATATTTTATTGTTGCACACATATCGTGTAGTATTAGAATCAACCCACCAAACAAAATTATTTTCAATCATATTGATGTCAGAGATCATAGCCATAAGATTTTTGCTTTTGTTGTTGGAAGACACTTGTTTCTTTTTATTTTTTTTTATTTTTAAGAATCTTGCACTCGAACTTGTAATGTCCTTCTTTCTTGCAATAGAATCATTGTCCCTTCTTCCTTTTCTTGTTATTCTTGGACTAGTTCTTGGGTTGTTGGTCATTTTTACTTTCTTGAGACTTATTAGTTTGTCTCTCTTTAACCACATACACTTTTGAAGTAGAAATTTTGTTCTCTTCAATGATTTGTGTAGCCTTTTTTTCTTGCATGCAAATTTCCTCTTCTACTCAAAGAGACTTAGCAAGAATTTCAAGAGAGATATATTCTTTTTTATATTTGAGATCTCTCTTGAAATCTTTCCATGAAGGAGGTAATTTGTCTATTATAGAGTAAACAATAATGACTTTATCCATATATAAATTGTGTTTTTGAAATGATTAAGAAACCTTTCAATTTCACTAAATTGTCTCATAACAGACCTATTATTTACCATTTTATAATTATTAAAAGATAAAACAAGAAAGTTCTTACTTGTAGTGTCTTCTTGCATGTATTTGGACTCCAAACGATCCCAAAGTTCCTTGGCGGTAGTAATTGAATGGTAGATATCAAATAGGCTGTCACTCATGGTATTGAGGATGTGACCATGACATATTTCATTGTCATTCTCCCATTTCTGACGTTTTCAGATGTCTTTAAGAGTTTCTTCCTGAGGATTGATGATCAATGGTTTTGGAGTGGTCAAAACATAGACCGTTTGGAGTGCAGTGAGAAGGAAATGAATACGTTTTTGCCAATGAATGAAATTTCCTCCATCAAACCTCTCAAGCTTAACAATGTTAGATGCCAATTCTTTCAAGGTACCGGCCATTGTAGAATACAAAATAAAATCTAAAGAATGTTAGGAGTATTACAATAAACTGGTAAATATAATAACAAGAATTAGATTCAAATCGTGATTATATATCACTTTTCTTTAAACTTTATTTGTCTGGTGTAACGTGCAATAAGCCTTGGACAAATATCTTTTGTGACAAAATGAAATTTATTTGTCTTAAACTCTTGCACAAAGTAAGATAAACCCTCTTGAATTAAGGAGTGTTTTTCAGAGAATTCAAAAATAGTAGGAAAGTGATATTTTAAAGTAAATCACTCTTTACCTAACCTCTTTATATAGGAGAGATTGTTTAAGAAACAAATGAACTTAATAAATACTTGTATGAATAGATTGAAGATATTGCGTACAAATTCATGCACTTTAATTCATGCATCACATGATCCTATGATCAAAAATATGAATCTATTCTTGTATACTAGGATCTCCACATACATGAATATATTTACGATACTTTCAAATTCATGAACATTTATCACAACATATGTACATCTTAGAATCATTTGATTCATAATACAATACATGTATATAGATCCTAGAATCACTAGATACAAATTTTGAAAATTTCCAACAAGAACTGTTAAAAAATCAAATTCACAAATGTTCTTGTAATCTCACAAAAGGATTAAATTCACGCTAGATTCATAGGTCTTACTTTTCCCTCCCGTCTATAAGGATCATACATACACATTCAAGGACCATACAAGCCTGTTTATGTACTACTGATTTCCAAACAGACTACCGTGAATTCTTTAGACTAGCAAATTACTCGAATTCGTGAATTAATGACTAGTTGCAAAATAACAAGAAGACTGAACGGGTGGTTTCATCTACTGCTAGGAAGAAATTAAGGTAGATTGGATAAGTTTCCTGTAAGATTGCTCCAGCCCATGTTAGGATGCATTTCATGTTTAATGTGCTACAAAAGCAGAGAAGTTTTGATGTGGTAAAATGGGTGAAGAAAAGAAGCAAAACTGCTGGGTGATCAGACAACGGGAACAAATATGTTGCTCAAAGTGGGGTGCAAAGAATCATCCGAAGTACAAGGATTTGAGTTACTAACAAGTTATCAACCTTATTGCAGGGTTTTACTTCTGCACCAAGAAAGGTTGGCTAGAGTAGATTTTGTTCTCTTATGAGTGTGAGTTACTATTAAAGAACATGCTTCACGTACAAGATATCAGCCCTCTGCATGAGTAATCCTCAACTTCCTAGTAAATGCTAAAAAATTTTCAGATGTTTTTTGGGAGTTCTTTAGCTGAGTACTAGTCAGACTTGTATGTAGCAAATAAATTTTTTTTTTTGGGTTATATTTTTGGGTTGAGTATAGAGGACTTTCACTAGGTGCCTTCCTTTGTTTAGCATCAAAGATGGACCTCCTTCAATTATATGCAGCAAAATGGGGACAAAAGGGTTAGAAGAATAAAGTGGTAAAAAGGTAAATTACAGAAACAAGAAAAGAATCAATCCAGATTATCCAGAAAGCATGTGTGTTTGGATTGAGAAGATTTGAAATAAAATAATTTGCTTCACAAATTCCAATCACTTTTTTTTCTTCCCAATCACCTTTTGATCTCAGATACATCATATCACAAAAAATGTTACAATAATTATCTCAAATAAATCATCTCAATAAACTCCTATCCAAACAAACTTATTTATTTTGGAAGTTTTGTGAGTTGGTGGCCACCACCAAAGTATTAAAGCTTGGTGGGGTAGGAGGTTAATGGTTCAAATGTTGCCTCCCACCAATTGCCACAATATGTGAGTTTGCTTAAAAAATCCATACCCCGGTGGTGGTTCAGTTTCCTTCGATTTACCCTTGGACCTCTTCAGGTCCCCCCTTCCCTTAGTATAGAATAGTGTAGGTCTATCGTATCCGACAAAAAAAAAAAAAGAAGAATGGAACTAATAAAGATGCATACGAAATTAAATGGATAGATAGATGTAATTAAACTTTGGTATGGTCTGATTTGAAGTAAGTGTTAATTTACAACCTAGGATGTACATTTTCTTGAGGATATTATCACCGATTGGAGTAATATCAGAGCTTCATTTGTTGGCTAATCAGTGGCGGAGACTTATTAATTTAGATATATGGCCATGGAATACGATATATTTAGCCTAATTTGGAGTCCAATCTGAGTTAACTGCAAAAGAAATGTGTTTTTATTTATAGAATTATTTTTTGTGAAGATATGCCAAAGAAGAAAGGAATAATGATGTCAAAACCATTTATATATGACTGCAAAGAATTCTGGAGAACTAGTTCCAAATCGATCCTCCGAAACTTGGAATAGACAAAAGAAAAGAAGGTTCGCAGAATTCAAAAAATGGATTTGGCAGACCTTTTTACTTTTTCTTGCACATAATACATTGTCAGAGCTTTAAGACATTGTATAGACAATACGTGGAATCACAAGAAACAGCACATCTCTAAGAAAATGAGCGAAATCAAACAAGAACAACCTATGGAATTTGATATAGATAATTTGTTTGAATGGACCATGAAGAAAAACTGGAAGGAAGTCCTGAATGTATGCAGGAACAACCCCTCTGCTTGTATGGCTAAGCTAACTAAATCAGAAGATACAGCTTTGCACATTGCTGTCTCAAGTTTCCATGCAGATCAAATTGATGCTAATGGACAAGCAAAAGTTGTAAGCGATCTTGTTGAATCACTACCGCCGGATCAGGCAGTCGAGATACTTAAAGTGCAAAATGACAAAGGAGACACACCTCTACATCTAGCTGCAGCACTTGGAAGTGCCACAATCTGCATTTGTATAGCCAGGAAGGATCATGTGCTCATCAGTGAGCGCAATCTGAAGGGTGAAACTCCATTGTTCATGGCAGCTCATCATGGCAAAATGGAGGCTTTTCTGCAGCTACATAAGCTCTACAGAAAGAGTGCAGAAGAACCAGATGATCGGCTGTATAGAAGGAATGATGGGGATACCATTCTGCACTCGGCCATATCTGGAGAGTACTTCGGTAAGAACCATGCAAGTCAGGCTTTCTTTTCACTCAAAAGTGCGTAAAAAATACCATTTCAGCTTAGAATGACCTAAGATCTAAAAAATTCCTACATGACAGCATTGGCATATCAGATAATTAGCTATAACCACAAACTTGTCCGTTCGATCAATCAAGAAGGCTTTTCTCCTCTCCACATCCTTGCCAGGAAACCAAATGTATTCGAGAGCAGCAGCAATCTTCGTCTCTTTGATCGGATAATCTATCGCTGTAAGAATGTCCATCCGGAGAATTCTAAAATTTTAATATCTTTCTAATTTGATGCTTTCTTCTTTTTTTTTGAGTGGACCTATATTGTTCATAATATGGCGCCTTTATCTTTCCTCCGGACCTGTGCATTATCTAACTTGCCTAAAATCTCAATAACCCAACTATAGTTAAATTTTCTCCTTTCTCTTCTTTTCTCCAGCCCGCATTCTCAAAATTTTTCTTGCTTTTATTCCCCAGTACATGATCTTCAAAGTTCCTGAAACCTTTGTCCTTTTGAGACATTATCAATCTTTCATGTAATTTCCAGCAGGCTTGTGGATTTTAAGCGCTTTTCTAGGGGAAGAAATTTTAACATGTACGGTTCAGTGTATAGTTTATTAGACGTCTTTTCTGTTGGTCATTTGATGAGCTGAAATTGCTTTCAACCCTTTGCTAATCTATTGTTCTCAATCACAGAATGTTATTCTGAATATCTCCTCAAATTTAACTTCCACTAAAATTGCAACTATATTGTTTATAAGGTGTACTTGTTCGTGAGCTAAAGAAGCAGAAATTCAAGGATAGTGGTATTAACTATCCAGATAACTACCAGACATGTGTGAAGTTCATTCATCTACCCTGGGCTGCATTCAGGACAATTAGTAAGTTTGATAACCACATCCCCGACTTTTCTGTTTTTAACTTCTAACTGCTTCTAAATGGAGAAATACTTGTTTGCAGCTGCTCTTGGAAAAGATTGTGGCCCTAGACAAGAACCAGGCAGTAAAGCAGATGCAGAGAATCCAAAAAATGAAGAGGAGGAACATCAAGGTCTATAGTGTGCCTTCATTGACTTCTAGCAGTTTCAGAATTGTTTGAACTTGCTTTTCGTAACGTAGTTAGACATAAAATCAAGACTCTATTTATATGCAGACCATGGAAAAACGAAAGGCTTCTAAATTTTGAATAATTGATAAAGTTGGCAGAGTATAACAGCAAAAATTAACAGAAAACCATAACAAGCACATAGTATCAGTAGCCAGACAGTTGATAATTTCCACTGATACATGACATATGAGAAATTTCTGAGGCCTAAGCTGTTCTGGCATTTTTCTATGCAATCAATCACCTAACTGATATTTTTGCACAAAAATATCATGCTAACGGTAATTACACATTTTCACACCATGTGCTGCTTGTCTCTGGGCACATAAATTCAATTAGTCCTCTTTCTTTCTTTTCTTTTCTTTTTTTTCAGAATCAAGGACTTCAAAATAGAAAACCTTTTTTTTTCTTTGCTCTCCTCATTTGCTGATGATCCAAATCTTGGTTGATAGTTTTATCTCTGGTTGGCATAATTTTAAATATTTTCACTCTTCATGAATTACTCGTATCACTTGAGCCATTGCCTGCAAGATAGCAGGTATTATAAATTTTATTATCTTATATTGGACAATGAAGCTTATCAACATGGAGGAAACCTGCAATCATGTTGAAGTCACATAACTATCAATATCCAAGGGAACATCTCTTTTTGGCTTCGAGGTATCGTTTAGGACTAAATGCAACTGGTGTCCAGGACTACATTTCTTTCAGTAGTATTTGACCTTTGATTTTCTGATCCAGGAAATGAATGGCAAAAGAGTTTGCCTGATTATCAGCCTAAATTACATAAATTTCTAAACATGTTTGTTCCACTTGAGCAATTAAACAAGAGCATACAGGAAATTATGAAAAATGTGGGCTGGATGCCATGTTATACCATGCTTTATATGTTAATGCAGGTGCGTGACTTTATAGCTTATTATTTGGTTTCATAAACTAATCACTTGCAAATGTCAAACAAGCAGAAAAAGAGCTCAAAGATGAACACCCGTTTCCAGAGAACTATACCACCTGCATTCAGTTGTTCAAATTTGCAATGAACGTTGTACTGGTTGTGTTGGGAATTGGTAAGTATCACTCTTCAATTAATTGCAGTTATGTCATACGCAATTCAGAAGCATTCTTTTCCAGATAATATCCCTGCCTCAAACTGAGAAAAAAGAAAAGCAACAAAAAACTTAGCAAAAGCAGAGTCTATGCATACTCATAGACTTGTAGGGATGTTTTTAAAACTGAATTTGACTGCAATACCTGTGCTTATAGCTTGTTTACGACATGTAGCAAAGAAATTCAGGCCTTCCAATAAAATTGAAAGCTGTTTTGTTTTGCTAACTTAAGTGTAATAGACCAGAAGATGGTTCCGTTTTTTAGTGTAAGAGATCAGCTTAGTCGAATTTATATCATAACAGTTCATACTCGACCAGAAACTTTGAAAAACCATTGTGAAGTTGCTGATGTAGTTTTTGGTCAAAAGAATGGTTTTTGGTTTATTACTGAACATCTGACCAAATTCCAAAAGAAGACAATTTTAGAAGGCCTTTTAGGAAAATTTCCATCCTTTTTGTTTCATCTACAAATATTAGGCTTCAACGTACATCTGTTATCAACTAATGGCACCACGCAATTGATTGGTTTACCATCTGCAGTTGTTTTTAGTGGAAAGCAAGTCTAACAATGTTTGGAATGTTTCCATGCAAGCAGGCATTTGGAAAATCAGTAAGATTAGGGAGAAGAAAGAGAGGCACAAGTGGGCTGTTCAGGTAATGGATAAATTGATTGAGCATGAAGCCAATTACAAGTACAGTCACAATGGAGGCAGACCTGTAGACAATGTGGAACAGATGTATCCTGAAAGAATTAAGCCTCCTTCTACACCGCCACCTGAACATGATACTTATTCAAGTTCGGAAGATACTGGAAGCAAATCCAAAGACAAGCAGGAACACGAAGATGGGATTAAACTAGGTAAAACTTTCGAGATATATGTGAACACTAGCTCTATAAACCACATGCATCAATTGAAAAATTGGAGTGTCGTGTGAATAGCTGAACGTTAGAAAAGGCTCAGTTTTAATATCTAAATTGCCAAACTACTTGTCTGCTTAGTTGTAATCATAAGGGTAATGATATTCATGCTGTCTTTAGCTTCTTGAACATCCCTACTATACAAGCTTGTCATTTGGCGTAACAAGCAATGAAAGGGTGTGCAGATTTTGGAAGTGTGAATATTACTACCTGATGATATCGTTATAAAGCTAAAGTTTGCTTGTTTCAAGAAGTTATGGTACAGATAAAAAGTAGTTCCTGCTTTTCTGTGATCTATCTAAATAAGTCATACAGGCCAACAACAGTTCATGCTTCCGACATCTTTGGCAGTCAATCAACTTCCAACCATGTTAAGAATTAGCCTCATCAAAAATGATTATGTGACCAGGATTTGAGAAACTCTAATGTTTTATACTGAATTTCCCCATATTGATCTTTTCCACCTCACCTTCCATAATGCCTTTTTCATCCAAGATATATTTATCCAACCGACGAGTTTCTTAAGCAACTCTACGTTTCAGTTACACATACTTTTGAACAAGACGGAGTAAATGTGAGTAGCATGCTTAAGTAGCCAATAGGCAAGGAAAGAACATAGCTTGAACAGGTAGATCTTACGAGGCAAATTACAGGGATGGGTATCAATTATTCCACTCACAAATGACGTACTTGTATCAGATGCCCAAACAAAGGATGTTAAGGAGACACGAATAGTAGCAGCAAACATGGATATAAAAGAAACGGTGAAAAAAATCCTGGAAACCTTTCCGGCGATCATTCAAGATTTGGATGCGAATGCCAAGAATGCCCTGCTCTTGACAGTTAACCTCGCTAAGATGCAAGGTAAGAGATAGCATGAAACATGAAAGCTCATAAAAGCAAATTTCAGATATAGACACTAATTGATCCACTGACAAATTACGTAACTGTATCAGATCCCACAACCAAGGATGTTAAGAAGGAGACACCAATACTACTTGCAGCAAAGATGGGTGTAACAGAAGTCGTAAAAAAAATCCTGGAAACCTTTCCTGTTGCCATTCAAGACTTGGATGCAAATGAGAAGAATGCCCTGCTCTTAGCCGTTGAGAACAGGCAAAACAAGGTATTTGATTTGCTAATGATGATGAAACTCCCCGAGTTTGTGCTTTATCAAGTTGATAATGAAGGAAATAGTGCGTTGCATCTGGCTGCTAAGTTCCAAGAACACCAACCTTGGCGAATTCCAGGTGCTGCATTGCAGATGCAGTGGGAAATCAAGTGGTATAAGGTATATGTATATTAGCTAATTTTTCCAAGCTGAGAATATGCCCTGATAATCCCTAGCTAAAATCATAATGTGACAACTTCATCATTGGCTTTATGTTCTTGTTTTGTTCATATAATATTATAAGATCTTCCTTTGTAGAATGTGGTAACCATCTCACATTAACTCAAAGTATATTGTTGTGTATTCTGTTAATCTCTGGGTACATAATAATTGTTTTGTAAATATTTCTCAATTAGGCATACAAACATTTGGCTGCTGTTTTAAATTTTTTTTCATAAATGCATCCGAGAGGAAGTTAGTTTCCAATGATTGCCCCTCTTTACTGCCATAGATAAAAGAACTTCAAAATCTAGTTTTTCTCTTAAGCATTGCGCTAGTACATTTTTTAGTCTATTGTTTTTGGCGTGATATGTTTTCTCCTATTCAGACCTTTCTTCAAAACATACATGTGTGGCTTAAACATCTAACATCCAGAGATTAACAGAGGTTGTTTGCTAATGCAGCATGTCAAGCACTCCATGCCGCCACAATGTTTCATCCAGTACAACAAGAAAGGTGAGACTGCAGGAAAAATTTTCATGAAGACACATGAAAAACTAGTAAAAGATGGAAGTAAGTGGATGATCAAAACCTCCGAATCATGCTCTCTGGTGGCAGCACTCATTGCAACAGTGGCATTTGCTACCTCATCAACAATTCCAGGTGGTCCTGATCAAAAGTCTGGTCATCCAGTTCTCGAAAAACAACCTGCATTCAATGTTTTTTCTGTTGCTTCACTTGTTGCTCTCTGCTTCTCTGTGACTGCCCTGGTGTTTTTTCTAGCTATCCTTACCTCAAGATGCCAGAAAAAGGACTTCAAAAAGAGTTTGCCAAGGAAGCTTTTATTTGGATTAACCTCACTATTCACCTCCATATCTGCAGTACTGGTCTCGTTCTGTGCAGGACATTTCTTCATGCTCAGCGATCAAATCCATAGTGCAGCACTTCCCCTCTATGCTGTAGCATGTCTACCAATAACCTTTTTTGCTTTTGCACAGCTACCATTATACTTTGATCTCTTATGGTCAATCATCCGAAAGGTTCCTGTTCGTAGCTACAAGGTATACTACCATTAGTGTTTTCCTGGCTAATCTCCTTAAAGTTTGTTTTCAGTTTTAAGGACATATCTGTTACTTTTGGAGCTTGGGTTCTGTTTTTGCTCTGATTATTTTGGAGCAATAGTTTCGTGTACATTTTGTTTTTCAGTATTTGATGTGTTTGATGTACTTGGATAAGACAGTCTGTTGAGTGTTCATGGTACTGTGACCATGGTTCAAAGCCGTGGTCACTGTCGTAGTCGTGGCCTGGATCGTTCGACATAAATCTCGATATATCGATTGCGATCTCGATGAAAGGCAAATTTTTAAAACATTTAATATTCTAAAAATTGTAAAAAAAAATGATAAACAAAAATAATAAAAAATTAGCAAAAATAATAAAAATTTGAATTAATTCGAGATGACTCATATGCTTGATGCAATCATATGTGTCATTTTACTTGAATTAGCTTTTGATTCACTAGAAAATTATTGACCACTTCTGAAACCGAATCATTCCAATTAATCATATCTCTAAAGGTGGTTTATGTATCAACTTGAGAGCCTGTGTCAAGCACTCATTTATATAGCAATTATCACAGTGATCTTTAAGTTGGGATTTCATGATAAACTAATAAAACCTATTTGCAGTAGTAGACTGTATGGAATATATAATACTCTGTTTATTATCTCTTCAGAACACAGCCAACATTGTAATTTCTCCTTAATTCATAATGTGACGTCGATAGAAATAGACCAGAATGGACTGTGTCTACGTCGAAAGAATGGACTGAAAAGAATATCTAACCTGCTCTTGTAGAGCAGCAGAGGTGGGCAATCATGGTGTACAGCAGTGTTGAAGAGAAGCTGTGAAATTGAACTTCTGAAATCTTAAATTCATCATTCATACCCCACAAAAGAACACTAACAGAATGATCAACCAGGTTTTCCATTTTTACTTGTTATTGTCAAATTTTCAATTTCCCTGATCTAAACAAACTTATTGATGGAGACCATGCTTGTCCTTGGAACTAATACGTTATTATATGAATTATCCAATGAACATAGAAAAGCCTAAATTATCCAACGAACATAGAAGAGCCGAAGGACAAGGGTCAAAAGCATGGTTCAAAGACTCGCGACCGCGACCGTGACCGTGACCGTGACTGCGATCGCGACCGTGTAATGAAGTAGGGATATAAAGGAGTAAAGGCGTGAAGTGGCAACAAAGGAAAGCGCGATCAAGCAGAGAGGAAAGAAGAGAAGACGCGGATTGAAGAATTCAGACAGCAAGTGGGCACGAAGTAAATAAAGGCGTGATAACAAAAAGGGAGAAGGCGCCAGGAGACCGCAAAGGCGCGAGCAAGAAAGCACGCTCATTCTGGGTTCACGTCCTTCTTGCTGCAAGTGGACAGGAGAATCTAGAAGATTCACTCACACGCAATTTCTATGTCATTAGCTAGTGGGCAAGTTAGTTAGGATAGATTACTATAAATATTACGATCATGCAATTGTTATTGGTAGAGAAAATTCCTGAATTGTAATCAGAAGGAGAATATCCTTTCTGTTATCCTTTCTTTAAGTTCTTCCTGCATTCTTTCTCATCTTCTTCTTTTCCCGCCAATTTCTTTTTCTGTAAGCAAGTTGAAGTTGTTCAATAAAAGTTCAATTGTCCCTGGAATTCATTCAGCTTGAGTATAATTCGTGTTCTTATCATTTGAGTACATACATTCCTCACCAAACACCATTTTTAGGTTCTGTACCACAACAGTGGTATCAGAGCTGTGTTGCGAGCCATAGGGATGACAAAAAACCAGGACGAAAATCTGAGAAGAGAGGTCGTGGAATTAGGGAGTGTGGTCAGGACCTTTACCAACAAAAGTGAGGGAGTAGAACAGGCCATGAGGACGATGGAGTTTAGACAGGATGCTACTGAAAAGCTACTGAAAGGATTGGATCAGAAATATGAGGGCCTGATGAACATGATGGCTCAGTTGGTGGCCAAGATCAGTGACCAGGGGAAGGGACCAGAAGGCAGTAGTAGCTCAAAAAGGGAAGATCGATCAAATGAATCCAGGATGGAGCCACCAAAAGAAGTAGGTAGTAGGAGAGAGGCCAGAGTCCATGGTAGATTGCCAAAAATGGATCTGCCAATTTTTGATGGAGACAATCCAAGGGAGTGGATCAGGAAGGCTAACAAGTATTTCAAACTACATGAGATAGAGGAGGATTTGAGGGCTGAGGTTGCTGAACTCTATTTCAGAGACAGAGCAGACATCTGGTTCCATGGAGTTTTTCATGGAAGGGAGGCTATTCCCTGGTCAGAATTATCCACTGCTCTATGCATCAGATTTGGAGAGGGCAGTCCAGAAGAGGCCATCGAAGAATTCAATAAGCTGGTGCAGGCAGGATCTGTGGCTGAATACTTGGAGAGATTCGAAATGCTCAAAGCCCTGGTAATGCCTTCTCTGCCTCACTTGTCTGATTCATATTATAAGGCATGTTTTATGAGTGGACTGAAAGAGGAAATAGTCAATATGGTGAAAATATCTAAACCTGAAACCTTAGCTGTTGCCATTGAAATAGCAAAACTCCAAGAAAAAAACCTCAAAGCAATCCAAAAAATGCAGAAACCTGTCAATACCAGTTTCAATAGCCAAAAAATCCACAGCAAGACTACACCCCACACCAAATGGAACCAAAACTACCCCAAACACACCAACAAACCCCCTGATCAGCACACTTCCAACCAGAACCTATTTAAAAAAATAACCCCCACAGAATACAATCACAGGAGGGAAAAGGGGCTATGTTATAGATGTGCAGAACCTTATACCTTGGGGCATGTTTGCAAACAAGCCCATGCACATTTACTGTTGGCTGATGAGGATGAAGACATGGAGAAGGGTAGGGAACCAGAGGAGGAAGTTTTCTGTGACTGCATTAATGGAGGTCTGGCAGGGGAACACATAGAAGTATCAATTCATGCCCTGGCAGGAGGAGCAAGGCACAAAACGATAAGGCTGAGGGGTCATGTTAAGGAAAGGCAAGTCACTGCACTGATTGATAGTGGCAGTACCCATTGCTTCTTGGATGAGCAGCTGGCAAAGGAGTTGAAACTGTGTACACAGGGGCCAACTTTAATAGTCAATGTGGCTAATGGTGAGAAAGTGGACTCCAAGGGACTGGATAAGCCTATGCAGTGGGAGATGCAGGGGCATCAGTTCCAACATACCTTCAACACTTTGAGGTTGGGGGGATGTGACATGATACTGGGGGTGGATTGGTTGGCCAAACACAGCCCTATAGAGTTCAATTTCATGGAACTCAGTATGAAGATCCTCAAGGGGAAGCAAGAAATAATACTGATAGGGGAGGACAGCAGCACCAAGTTGGAAATGTTCAAAGGAGGCAGGCTAGCAAAATGGCTAAGGAAGCAGGAATATGGGGTAGTAGCACAACTGGTAACAGTGGGGAAAGAGGAAAGACCAGGACAGATACCCATTGAAATCAACCATGTGCTAGATCAATACAAGGACGTCTTTGAAGAACCAAAAGGAATGCCTCCAACAAGGAGCCATGATCACCAGATTGTCCTCAAGGAGGGGGCCAGGCCCTTCCAGGTGAGACCATACAGGTGCCCCTACGTGCAGAAGTCAGAAATTGAGAAATTGGTGAAGGAAATGCTGGAGCTGGGCATCATACAACCCAGCAGCAGCCCATTTGCTTCCCCAGTGCTACTGGTTAAGAAAAAAGATGGGACATGGAGGTTCTGTGTAGACTACAGGCAGTTGAATGAGCTGACAGTGAAGAACAAATTCCTCATGCCCCTGATTGAAGAGTTAATAGATGAACTGCATGGGGCCAAGTATTTCACAAAAATAGATCTGAGGGCAGGATACTTTCAGATCAGGGTCAAAGTGGAAGACATACCAAAAACAGCTTTCAGGACTCATCAAGGACTCTATGAATTCAAGGTCATGCCATTTGGCTTGACCAATGCACCTGCAACCTTCCAGAGCCTGATGAATCAGGTCTTCCAGGAACAGATGAGGAAACATGTATTGGTATTCTTTGATGACATTCTGGTCTACAGCCCCACACTGGAGACACATGTGAAGCATGTGACTGAGGTAATGAGTATTCTGAGGCAACACCAGTTATTTGCCAAAATGAGTAAATGTTCTTTTGCTCAGCTACAGGTGGAATATTTAGGACACATCATATCAGCAGAGGGAGTACAGGCTGACCCTGAGAAGATAGAAGGCATGAAAAACTGGACGAGACCAACCAACATCAAGCAGCTAAGGGGATTTTTGGGCCTAACAGGGTACTATAGGAGATTGGTCAAGGGGTATGGGGCTATAGCCAGACCCCTGACAGACCTGCTCAAGAAGGACAACTTCCACTGGAGTGAAGACACAGAGCAGGCTTTCCAGCAACTGAAAGAGGCCATGTGTAGCACCCCAGTTCTAGCAGTACCTGACTTCACCCAGCCATTCATTATTGAGACTGATGCATGCTACACTGGTATAGGAGCTGTGCTAATGCAGAATAGAAGACCTATCTCCTACCTCAGTCAAGCTCTGGGACAGAAAAACATGGGGTTATCAATCTACGAAAAAGAACTACTGGCCTTGGTGACAGCTGTGACCAAATGGAGACACTACTTAGAAGGACACCATTTCATCATACATACTGACCATCAAAGCCTGAAGTATCTCCTGGAGCAGAGGATCACTACCCCACTCCAACAGAAATGGCTCACTAAATTGTTGGGGTTGAGCTACGAGATCCATTACAAAAAAGGTAAGGATAACCTGGCTGCTGATGCACTGTCTAGACAGGGCAGGGAAGAAATAGGGGAGTGCACAGCTATATCATGTGCAGTGCCAACCTGGGTACAGGAGGTGATAGAGAGTTACAAGGGGGATGAATGGACTCAGAAGACCATAGCTCTGGTGTTATTAACCCCCACACTGGCACCTGACTACTCATACCAGGATGGCATTCTCAGGTTCAAGAAGAGGCTAGTAGTAGGGGGACAAGGTGATACCAGAAGGAAGTTAATCACTGCACTACACGATTCCCAAGTTGGAGGACACTCAGGCATTCAGGCCAGCTACATGAGGGCCAAACAGCTATTTTATTGGCCAGGAATGTACCAGGAAATCAAGAAGGCAGTCCTAGAATGTGATACCTGCAGAAAATGTAAAGATGAACATGTGGCTTACCCAGGATTGCTGCAGCCACTTCCTATTCCCCAGCACTCATGGAGTCACATTTCTATGGATTTTGTTGAAGGACTACCCCAATCAGAAGGAAGGAATACTATTATGGTGGTGGTAGATAGGTTTACCAAGTATGCACACTTTATCAGTTTATCCCATCCTTTTGATGCTCCAAAAATGGCCAGACTCTTCATTGATTACATCAGTAAACTACATGGCATTCCCTATAGCATGCTCTCAGACAGAGACAGGATTTTTGTCAGTAAATTCTGGGAAGAACTATTCAGTTCATTGGGGGCCAAGTTGAACTACAACACAGCTTATCACCCTCAGACTGATGGCCAGACTGAGAGGGTGAACCAGGTGCTCGAAATGTACCTCAGGTGCTTGACTCATTTGGAACCAAAAAAGTGGAATCAGTGGTTATCTCTGGCAGAATGGTGGTACAACACTTCTCACCACACTGCCATCCAGATGACTCCTTTTGAGGCTCTATATGGTCTAGCCCCTCCCCAATTGGCTCTGGGACCTTACCTGCAATCCAGGGTAGCTGCAGTAGGAGAATACCTCAGAGAGAGGCAACAAATGGATAACATGCTGAAACAGAATTTGAAGCAGGCTCAGGAGAGAATGAAAAGGTATGCTGATGAGAAGAGGAGTGAACGAGAATTTAGTAAAGGAGATTGGGTGTATCTACGGTTGCAACCCTACAGACAAAGCTCTGTGGCCCTGAGAGGGAACACCAAGTTATCAGCAAGGTACTTTGGCCCTTACAAAGTGGAGGAAAGAATAGGAAATGTAGCTTATAGACTGGAACTGCCAAGCTCTTCAAAGGTACACCCTGTCTTCCATGTGTCGTTGCTCAAAAGAAAGGTGGGAGACAAGATCACCCCCACCCTCCATTTACCAGAAACAAATGAAAAGGGTCATTGGAGAGTGGAGCCTATTGCCATACTGGATAGGAAAATGGTGAAGAAAAAAAATGCAGCTGCCACTCAGTGGCTAGTCCACTGGTGGGGTACGGACCCTGCAGAAGCTACATGGGAGGATGCTGAGGAGATCGAAAGACAATTCCCTACCTTCCAACCTTGAGGTCAAGGTTTGCTGTGGAGGGGAAGTATTGTAATGAAGTAGGGATATAAAGGAGTAAAGGCGTGAAGTGGCAACAAAGGAAAGCGCGATCAAGCAGAGAGGAAAGAAGAGAAGACGCGGATTGAAGAATTCAGACAGCAAGTGGGCACGAAGTAAATAAAGGCGTGATAACAAAAAGGGAGAAGGCGCCAGGAGACCGCAAAGGCGCGAGCAAGAAAGCACGCTCATTCTGGGTTCACGTCCTTCTTGCTGCAAGTGGACAGGAGAATCTAGAAGATTCACTCACACGCAATTTCTATGTCATTAGCTAGTGGGCAAGTTAGTTAGGATAGATTACTATAAATATTACGATCATGCAATTGTTATTGGTAGAGAAAATTCCTGAATTGTAATCAGAAGGAGAATATCCTTTCTGTTATCCTTTCTTTAAGTTCTTCCTGCATTCTTTCTCATCTTCTTCTTTTCCCGCCAATTTCTTTTTCTGTAAGCAAGTTGAAGTTGTTCAATAAAAGTTCAATTGTCCCTGGAATTCATTCAGCTTGAGTATAATTCGTGTTCTTATCATTTGAGTACATACATTTCTCACCAAACACCATTTTTAGGTTCTGTACCACAACAGACCGCGACCACTCCTTTGAACCATGGTCGAAAGAGAATACTCAAAATAGCAAAGGGCATATGTTTGTCAGCTATATACAAGTCTGAAAGTCACATATGAAGGATGGTGAAACTTCTGGCTAACCTATAAACAACTGACTGCTTAACATTACTTTGCATTCTCCTAGCAACTGATTTGTTGTGGACAAGTAACCTCAAAGAACGATTAGAAAGTTGTGGCTGGTGGACACCAAGATGGAATCACCCCGCTAATATGGCCAATGTCACGGCTACAATGCAATGAGTGAATATTCCTTGCAGAACAGAAGGACCAAGATCATCTCCCACACCCAATGTTAGATTTATAGGTTGTACATTTTCCATTAGTCCTTAAGGATGATACATTCACATTCCAGGACCATACAAGCCTGTCTACATACCACTGATTCCAAAAAACACCTCCATCACTCTTTTAGCCGGCAAATTACTTGAATTGATGAATGAGTTGCCAAAAAATAACTAGATGATTCGATGCGTTTCATTTACTGCTAGGAAGAAAGTGGATTAGATAATTTCCCGGTAAATAATTGATTGCTCCACCAGTGTTGTGACACATATCTTTTTTTGTTACAAAAGCCAAAAAAAAAAAAAACAAAAATCGTTGACGTGGGGAAGACAGAAGAAATGAAGCAAAACTGCAGGTGAGACAAGGGGAGCAAATGACTTGCTCTAGTGAGCTCCAAAGAATCATCTGAAGTACAATATGAGTTAGTATCAAGTTATCAACTTTACTGCACGGCTTTGCTTCTGTATTAAAAAAGTTGAGAGGATATTTGGTTCTCTTGTGAGAGTTAGTTACTAGTAAATACCATGCTTCATGGACAATATTTTTGAACTCTGCATAAATAATCCTCTACTTCCTGGTTGAGTACTAAAAAAGTTTCAGAAATTTTGAAAGTTTCTTTAGATGAGTGCCAGTGATACTTGAAAAAGACCAATCAATTTTGTGATTCGAATACTAATTGGTCTTCATCCTTTTTTTTTTTTTAAGATTCTAGTTGAGTATGCCTTCGTTCAGCATCAAGTCATGGATAACGGGTCTTCTTTATACACAGTGAAATGGGGAGAAAAAGGTCAGATAAATCAAGTGGTAAAAAGCTACATTATGCAAACAAGAAAAGAATCCATCCAGATTATACACAAAGTATTGTAGTTGAATTGAAATTTTATGATCGGATCAAATGAAGATACCTACGAATCAAATGAAGATATAGATGTGATTAAACTTTGGTATGATTTGATTGTAAGGCAAGGGTTGGTTTACTACCTAAAATGTACATTTGTTTGCTTATTCTTATGCAATGCATTAGTAGGGACTAATTGCCTATGGCCTTCCTATCTTCCTTCTTGTACCAATCTATATTAACTGCAACAGAACTGTGTGTTTTGTTTATTTATTTATTTATTTATTCGAAGAATAAGCCAAAGAAAAAAGGAATAATGATGTCGAAGCCATTCAAAACTAGAGAGAGTTCCGGAGAAAGCAGTTCCAAATTGATCCTCAGAAACTTGGAAAAGACAAAAGAGAAAATAGTTTCAAACTGATCCTCGGAAACTTAGAAACGACAAAAGAAAAGAAGGTTTCCAGAAATCAAAAAAAGGGTTTTGGTGGGCCTTTTTCTTTTTCTTGCATACGTTACAATGCTAGAGCTCTAAGACATTATATAGATGATATGAGGAATCACAAGTGACAAGAAAGAGCACACCTGGAAGAAAATGAGGAACAACAAACAATTAGAGGCTCAAAAATTTGATGTAGATGAATTATTTCAATTTACCATGAAGAAAAATTGGAAGGAAGTGCTGAGAATATGCAAGAGCTACCCTTCGGCTGCTTGCAACGCTAAGCTAACTAAATCAGAAGAGACAGCTCTGCACATTGCTGTCTCAAGTTACCATGTAGGTGAAAAGGAAGCTCATGCACTTGCAGCAACCATAGGGCAACTGGTAGAATCACTACCAGTGGGCCAGGCAGTCGAGATCCTTAAAGCGCAAAACGACAAAGGAGACACAGCTCTCCATCTAGCTGCAGCACTTGGCAGTGTCACAATCTGTGATTGTATAGCCAGGAACCGCAATCAGATTTATCGCGAGCTCATCATGATCCGCAATCGGAAGGGCGAAACACCAATGTTCTTGGCAGCTCATCACGGCCATATGGAAGCTTTTCAACTGCTTCATCAGCTCTACAATGGGAATGCAAGCGAACCAGATTATTCACTCGGTAGAAGGAATGATGGGGATACCATTCTGCACTCTGCCATATCTGGGGAATACTTTGGTAAGAATTATGCAAGTCATGCTTCCTTTTCACTCAAAGACTCAAAGTGCATAAATTTATATCATCTAAGAATCAAATGGGATCTCAACAATTTTCTCCATTACAGCATTGGCAGACCTGATAAGTATCAAATACCGCAAGCTTGTCAATTCTGTCAATGAGGAAGGCTTTTCTCCTCTCCACATCCTAGCCAGGAAGCCAAATGTATTTGAGAGCAGCAGCAATCTTCGACTCTGTGATCGAATGCTCTATCGCTGTAAGAATGTCTATCGGGAAGATTTTAGAAATTTAAACATCTCTTCAGCTAAAGCATCTATGATCTTTTTTTTTTTTTTTGGTAGGAGGCTGTTTGCCTATGTACGTTGCTTCTAACATGCTGCCTTTATCTTTCCTCTAGACCATTGCATTATCTGACTTTGCCAAAATCTCAAAATTTAACTATAGCTTAATCTTTTCCTTCCTATTCTTTTCTTCAGCTATCATTTTAAAAAGATTTTCCGGGTATTATTTTCCAGTTTCTCCAATATATGATATTCAAAGGTCCCGAAACATTTGTCATTTTGAGATATCATCAAATCTTTCTTGTAATTTCACGCAGAGTTGGTGATTTTAAACCACTTTTCTAGAGGAAGAATATTTTACATATACGGTTGAATGTATGGTTTATCATTCATCTTTCCTTTGTTCATCTAAATATCTCCTCAATTTGACTTTCACCGAAGTGCAACTGTATTTGTTTGCAAGGTGTATATGTCCCTGAGGTTAAGAACCGTCAATCCAGAAGAGGAGACCGGAGAAGTTTAGAGGCGACCGGAGAGCACTATCCCAAGAACTACCAGACGTGTGTGAACTTCATTCGTCTAATTTCGACTGCATTCTGGCTAATTGGTAGGTTTGATAACCAATCTCACACTCTACGTTGACTTCTGGCCACTTCTAAATGGACAAATACTTGTTTCCAGCTCCTCTTGGGAAAGGTCAAGATCAAGGTCAAGGTCCAGGTACAGCAGATCCAGAAGAGGGAAAAATGGAAGGTCAAGGTCTCTACTATGCCTTTAGTTACTTCCTGCAGTTTTCAAATTGTTTTGGTAAATTAAAGAATCTAGACTTCATCAAATGCAGAACATCGAGAAAAGTAACACTTAAAAATTTTGAATCATGGAAGAAAATAGCACAGTATAACAACAAAAGTTAACAAAAGTAACACTTAAAGTTTACTTATTTCCGAAGTTTTTAAAATGTTTGAACTTTTCTTCGAGCAAAATTGTTTGAACTTGTTTTTGGTAAAAGAATCTAGACTTCATCAAATAGATTTTGAATTGGAAGAAAATAGCACAGTGTAAAAACAAAACCTTACAGAATTCCATTGCTAGCTCACTACTCGTGGTATTAATTATCCGGATAACTAACTACCAGACAAGTGGAAAATTCCTTTATCTAGCTTGGACTGTAATCAGGATAGTTGGTACGTTTGATAACCACATCTCACACTCTACTTTAACTTCTGACAACTTCTTAATGGAGCAATACTTGTTTCCAGCTTCTCGTGGAGAAGATTCTGATTCCAGACAACCGGGCAGTACAGAAGACAGAGAAATTCCAATAGAGGGAAATCAAGGTCTCTACTATGCCTTTACTGATTTCCTGCAGTTTTGGAATTGTTTGAACTTGCTTTTGCTTAACAAATCTAAACCTTATGACATGCAGAACACGGAGGGAAGTAAATTTTGAATAATGGAAGAAATAAGTACAGTATAACAACAAAAAGTAACAAAAAAACCATTAAAACCTCGTAGCATCAGTAGCCTAAGGGAATATTTTCTGAGGCTCAACTTCTCCATGCCTTGTTGTATGCAATGCGATCAGCTACCTGATTTCCGCACAAAAATATCATGCTAAGAACTTCTAAATTACTAAGATGCTAGACGCATACCACAGTAACAGTAACACGGAGTTCAACACCCTTATGAGTTGCTTGTCTAATATATTTTACCTCTGTTTTGCTTAACTACTAAAAGGATCTGCATCAGTGCATCTGGTACTTACTTTCAAAAAGGAAAACATTATGTACTCATTTGTGGCCACTAGGGTATCTATGGAAGGGTGCGAACTGTGAAGATGGTATAGACTGGTTTGCTCTGTCAGCCTCGTGTCCTCCCCAGTTGTTTAAATTCATTGCAGCTCAACTTACAGGATGCATTATCTTCTGGAGAGCCATTAAATAAAATAAAACTTTTAGCAATTTAGCCACTATATATCTAACGAAATTATGAACATGTGAATTGGGCACATACTCTCATGTTTAAAATTATTTTAAAAAAATAGAGGTGCAACTTTATGTAAAGAGAGAAGGTATATCACAATTCCTAAGAGATTCATTGAAACAAAAATATAGCACTTTCATTTGTTGTTCAAATACTATAGAGAATTGTTATAACAGCTAATGCTTCTACACAGGAGTCCTTGTACTTTCAGGGATATTGTGTGTTGATGGAACCTAAGGGTTTCTTTTACCATTTTGATTTCAAATCATTCTAAAACATTAAGCTAGGAGAGGGGAGTCTGGTATTTGTGCCCATATGAATTGACATAATCCTTTTAACCTCAGAATCAAGGGCTAATATTTTTCTTTTGCTTTTCACATCTCCTAGATGACCCAATTCTCCTTGAATATTTATCTCAGGTTGACATGGTTTTAAACAAGTTCACTCTTTTCTTCATGAATTACTCATTTCATCTGAGTCACTTGCCTGAAAGATATCAGGGATCTCAAGAACTTATCCATCTTTACACAAGGCCAAATTTTTGTGATACTGTGTTCAGGTCTAATTGTACCTATCAGCGTTCTGGATTCCTACGACTATGTTCACATTGCACAATTATTATCATCCATGAATATATTGCTTTTGGCTTTGTGCTAATGTTGCGACAAAACGTTCAGGAGTACACTAATTTTAGAAGTATTTGGCCTTTGGCTGCTTCTGATTTAGGAAGAGGACTACAAAACAATTTGGCAGATTATCAACCTAAATTATTTAATCTTTTCTAAACATGTATGTTCCACATGAGCAATTATAGAATAGCTTACAAAGAATTGTGAAAAATGTAGGCTGGAAGTGATGTCATACCATGCTATACATGTTAATGCAGGTACATGATTATATAGCTCGTAATTTGTTCTCTAAACTAACCACTTGCCAATTTCAAACAAGCAGGAAAAGAGCTCAATGATGAGAACACGTTTCCACCTAACTATGCTACCTGCATTCAGTTGTTCAAATTTGCAATCAACCTTGCACTAATTATTTTCGGAATCGGTAAGCGTCGCTCTACAGTTAATTCTAGTCCTGTGATATGGAATTTTCTTTCATCCGTATTTACTTCTAGTACCATATTTTTCTGGATAGCTTCTTTCCCTGCCTCAAACTGAGAAAGAAGAAAAGCAAAGCAAGACATAGCAAAGGCATAGTTGTAGTTTGTAGGGGTATTTATGCTTGTAACATGTAAAAAGAAATACAGCTCTTTCCATTCAATTTAAAGCTGTTTTGTTTTGTTTTGAGTGTCATATATCAGCTGAGTTGAATTTATATTGTATCAGTTCATAGTCAATTACAAAGTTTCAATGCTATTCAGAAATCGCTGGGATAGTTTCGGCTCAAAGGAACAAAATCTTGTTTGTTCCTGAACATTTAACCAAATTCCAAAAAAAAAAAAAAATGCGTTTTAGGAAATTTCCATCTGTCTTGGTAAGTCTAATCATCAGGTATCGACTAATCACATTATGCAACAGATTGGTTTTCCATCTCTAACAATGTTTGGTTGATCTGCACAAATGTTTTCACGCATCCAGGCATTTGGAAGATCAGCAAGATTGCGGAGAAGAAACAGAGGCACAATAGGGCTGTTCGGATGATGGATAAATTGATTGAGAAAGAATCACGATATAAGTACAGTCACGATGGGCAAAATCCCATAAATGCTGCAGAACCGATGTATGAAGGAAGATTTGTCGTTCCAAAAGCAGCACCAGAAACACCTGATACTCCTTCAAGCTCGAAAGACAACATCCCTGCAAGCAAATCCAAAGACAAGAAAAACAAAATTGAGAGTAAACCAGGTATGGTTTCGAGATAACAGTTTAGCTCTGTCCACCTCACGTGAACAACTAAAATTTAGAAGAGACTCGACTGTAATATCTAAAATTTACATGATATTTGTCTGCTTTAGTTGTATTGGTAAGGGCAATTATATTGGCAGCATCTTTTACCCTTGTTGTGCATGCTTGTCATTTGGCCTAAAGAGCATTTAAAGTGTGCATATGAAGCTAAATATGGTCTGCGAATGTCATTACTCGATGGTGAAGTCATAAAGGTAAAGGTTGCTTGTTCCAAGAAGGTAAGGTGCAGATAAAATATAGTTCCCTCTTTCTGTAATCTACCTTAGTTAGTCATACAGGACAATGGTTCATGCTTCCAACATCTTCGGTGGTCAATTTATGCAAACATGAATAGTAAGATATGAACCATGTTGAGAGTTAGCCTCAAGAAAATTGACTCTCTAATTTGAAATTAAGAAATAATGATGTGTTACAATGAAGTTATACTTCTAGGTCCTCTCTGCCTCACCTTCCATGGTGATTTCTTCCCAAGATGATTTCTTCCATAAAATAAATGTCTTAAGCAACTCTACTTTAGATTGCACACACTTGTGCTGAAGCAAGTTAGCATAAAATCTTAGTAGCACATCAAAGTAGCTGATAGGTAAGATAAGAATTTAGCTTGAAGCTGATGGATGCCAATTAATCCACTGACATGACATACCTGTACCAGAAGCCAACCCCAAGGACGCTAAGGAGACATCAATATTACTTGCAGCAAAGATGGGTATATCAGAAATGGTGGAAAAAATCCTGAAAACCTTTCCAGTGGCCATTCAAGACTTGGATGCAAATGGGAAGAATGCCCTGCTCTTGACCGTTGAGAACAGGCAAATCAAGGTATTTGATTTATTAATGACAATGAAACTCCCGGAATTTGTGCTTTATCAAATTGACAATGAAGGAAACAGTGCAATGCATCTCGCTGCCAAGTTTCAAGAGCATAAACCTTGGCGAATTCCAGGTACCGCATTGCAGATGCAGTGGGAACTCAAGTGGTTTAAGGTACATATTAGTCCTTAGTCAATTGTTCCAAGCTGAGATTACGTTCTGATAATACCTGACTGAAATCAATCTATGACAACTTCATTGGCTTTACGTTCTTGATTCATTCTTTTATTATTAGAACTTCCTTTTTAGAATGCGGTAACCATCTCCAGTTCACTTTGTGTATTCTGTTAATTAGTCTCTCTGTACTAAATGTGAGTAGCATGCTTAAGTAGCCAATAGGCAAGGAAAGAACATAGCTTGAACAGGTAGATCTTACGAGGCAAATTACAGGGATGGGTATCAATTATTCCACTCACAAATGACGTACTTGTATCAGATGCCCAAACAAAGGATGTTAAGGAGACACGAATAGTAGCAGCAAACATGGATATAAAAGAAACGGTGAAAAAAATCCTGGAAACCTTTCCGGCGATCATTCAAGATTTGGATGCGAATGCCAAGAATGCCCTGCTCTTGACAGTTAACCTCGCTAAGATGCAAGGTAAGAGATAGCATGAAACATGAAAGCTCATAAAAGCAAATTTCAGATATAGACACTAATTGATCCACTGACAAATTACGTAACTGTATCAGATCCCACAACCAAGGATGTTAAGAAGGAGACACCAATACTACTTGCAGCAAAGATGGGTGTAACAGAAGTCGTAAAAAAAATCCTGGAAACCTTTCCTGTTGCCATTCAAGACTTGGATGCAAATGAGAAGAATGCCCTGCTCTTAGCCGTTGAGAACAGGCAAAACAAGGTATTTGATTTGCTAATGATGATGAAACTCCCCGAGTTTGTGCTTTATCAAGTTGATAATGAAGGAAATAGTGCGTTGCATCTGGCTGCTAAGTTCCAAGAACACCAACCTTGGCGAATTCCAGGTGCTGCATTGCAGATGCAGTGGGAAATCAAGTGGTATAAGGTATATGTATATTAGCTAATTTTTCCAAGCTGAGAATATGCCCTGATAATCCCTAGCTAAAATCATAATGTGACAACTTCATCATTGGCTTTATGTTCTTGTTTTGTTCATATAATATTATAAGATCTTCCTTTGTAGAATGTGGTAACCATCTCACATTAACTCAAAGTATATTGTTGTGTATTCTGTTAATCTCTGGGTACATAATAATTGTTTTGTAAATATTTCTCAATTAGGCATACAAACATTTGGCTGCTGTTTTAAATTTTTTTTCATAAATGCATCCGAGAGGAAGTTAGTTTCCAATGATTGCCCCTCTTTACTGCCATAGATAAAAGAACTTCAAAATCTAGTTTTTCTCTTAAGCATTGCGCTAGTACATTTTTTAGTCTATTGTTTTTGGCGTGATATGTTTTCTCCTATTCAGACCTTTCTTCAAAACATACATGTGTGGCTTAAACATCTAACATCCAGAGATTAACAGAGGTTGTTTGCTAATGCAGCATGTCAAGCACTCCATGCCGCCACAATGTTTCATCCAGTACAACAAGAAAGGTGAGACTGCAGGAAAAATTTTCATGAAGACACATGAAAAACTAGTAAAAGATGGAAGTAAGTGGATGATCAAAACCTCCGAATCATGCTCTCTGGTGGCAGCACTCATTGCAACAGTGGCATTTGCTACCTCATCAACAATTCCAGGTGGTCCTGATCAAAAGTCTGGTCATCCAGTTCTCGAAAAACAACCTGCATTCAATGTTTTTTCTGTTGCTTCACTTGTTGCTCTCTGCTTCTCTGTGACTGCCCTGGTGTTTTTTCTAGCTATCCTTACCTCAAGATGCCAGAAAAAGGACTTCAAAAAGAGTTTGCCAAGGAAGCTTTTATTTGGATTAACCTCACTATTCACCTCCATATCTGCAGTACTGGTCTCGTTCTGTGCAGGACATTTCTTCATGCTCAGCGATCAAATCCATAGTGCAGCACTTCCCCTCTATGCTGTAGCATGTCTACCAATAACCTTTTTTGCTTTTGCACAGCTACCATTATACTTTGATCTCTTATGGTCAATCATCCGAAAGGTTCCTGTTCGTAGCTACAAGGTATACTACCATTAGTGTTTTCCTGGCTAATCTCCTTAAAGTTTGTTTTCAGTTTTAAGGACATATCTGTTACTTTTGGAGCTTGGGTTCTGTTTTTGCTCTGATTATTTTGGAGCAATAGTTTCGTGTACATTTTGTTTTTCAGTATTTGATGTGTTTGATGTACTTGGATAAGACAGTCTGTTGAGTGTTCATGGTACTGTGACCATGGTTCAAAGCCGTGGTCACTGTCGTAGTCGTGGCCTGGATCGTTCGACATAAATCTCGATATATCGATTGCGATCTCGATGAAAGGCAAATTTTTAAAACATTTAATATTCTAAAAATTGTAAAAAAAAATGATAAACAAAAATAATAAAAAATTAGCAAAAATAATAAAAATTTGAATTAATTCGAGATGACTCATATGCTTGATGCAATCATATGTGTCATTTTACTTGAATTAGCTTTTGATTCACTAGAAAATTATTGACCACTTCTGAAACCGAATCATTCCAATTAATCATATCTCTAAAGGTGGTTTATGTATCAACTTGAGAGCCTGTGTCAAGCACTCATTTATATAGCAATTATCACAGTGATCTTTAAGTTGGGATTTCATGATAAACTAATAAAACCTATTTGCAGTAGTAGACTGTATGGAATATATAATACTCTGTTTATTATCTCTTCAGAACACAGCCAACATTGTAATTTCTCCTTAATTCATAATGTGACGTCGATAGAAATAGACCAGAATGGACTGTGTCTACGTCGAAAGAATGGACTGAAAAGAATATCTAACCTGCTCTTGCAGAGCAGCAGAGCTGGGCAATCATGGTGTACAGCAGTGTTGAAGAGAAGCTGTGAAATTGAACTTCTGAAATCTTAAATTCATCATTCATACCCCACAAAAGAACACTAACAGAATGATCAACCAGGTTTTCCATTTTTACTTGTTATTGTCAAATTTTCAATTTCCCTGATCTAAACAAACTTATTGATGGAGACCATGCTTGTCCTTGGAACTAATACGTTGTTATATGAATTATCCGATGAACATAGAAGAGCCTAAATTATCCAACGAACATAGAAGAGCCTAAGGACAAGGGTCAAAAGCATGGTTCAAAGACTCGCGACCGCGACTGCGACAGCGCCTTTGAACCATGGTCAAAAGAGAATACTCAAGATAGCAAAGGGCATATGTTTGTCAGCTGTATACAAGTCTGAAAGTCACATATGCAGGATGGTGAAACTTCTGGCTAACCTATAAACAACTGACTGCTTAACATTGCTTTGCATTCTCCTAGCAGCTCTTTTGTTGTGGACAAGTAACCTCAAAGAACGATTAGAAGGTTGAGGCTGGTGGACATCAAGATGGAATCACCCCGCTAATATAGCCAATGTGACTGCTACAATGCAATGAGTGAATATTCCTTGCAGAACAGAAGGACCAAGATCATCTCCCACACCCAACACTAGATTTGTAGGTTGTACATTTTTCATTAGTCCTTAAGGCAATGTTTTAAAAATCGGACCGTTAATTGAACCGGTGAAATGAAAGGGTCGAGGTTCAACCGGTCGGACCGGTTCAACCTCGGTTCAATGAATTTTTTAAAAAATAATTTATATAAATATATATATGTACAAAATAAGACATGTAATGGACTAATTTAATATTTTATATGATGAAAAGTTTACTATTTTTTAATAACTTGGATTTTTAAAAATAAATTTTTTAAATTATAAGTTAAAACAAATAAATTTCATCTCAATTTCAATTATATCTAAATCCAACCCCAAAATATCACAATATTTTGAAATTATACAAAATTCATGTATCTGAGAATTTAGATATTATGAATTTTAATTTTAATTTACGTTTTGAGATTTAGATATTGCAATTTAAAAAAGAAAATTTGGAGTTCGAAGGAAATCAAGAAAATTGAAAATAGAAATGTAAACTTGATAAGAAACAAAAAATAAGATAAAAGTGAGTGGTTGTGGCATTAAATAATTTGGGCTAAAAAAAATTCTTTTTTAACTTTTTTCAATTTAATGGACAAAAACAAAATTAAAAGATGGAAGAAAACATTAATAAATTAAAAATAAAGAGGTTTGATTAAAAAGGGAGTGACAAAAGAAAAGATGATAGAGAGAGAGAGAGAGTTGAAAATTAAAAAGAAAGAGCCATGAGGGGATGAGATTTTGTAAGAAAAATGGAAAAAAGAAATATGAGTATTTGCTTTATATAAATAAGTTATCAAAAAAAACTAATAAGATGTGATGGTGCAATGGTTAATACATTGGTCTTTTATTACAAAGGTCTTGGGTTCGAATCTTGATTGTTGCATTTTGCAAAACTTTAAAAAAAAAAAAAAAAAAAAAAGGTAAAGCTGAAAACCGGAAAATCGCCGGTTCAATCCGGTTCGGCGGTTTTCACGGTTCAACCGATCTTTGACCGGGTTTCTAGCAAAGTCAACAATGTCATTGAACCGGACCGGTGCCATGGCCGGTTCACGGTTCAACCGGTCGAACCGCCGGTCCGGTCCGGTTTTCAAAACATTGCCTTAAGGATGATACATTCACATTCCAGGACCATACAAGCCTATCTACATACCACTGATTCCAAAAAACACAGCTCCATCATTCTTTTAGCCGGCAAATTACTTGAATTGATGAATGAGTTGCCAAAAATAACTAGATGATTCGATGCGTTTCATTTACTGCTAGGAAGAAAGTGGATTAGATAATTTCCCCGTAAATAATTGATTGCTCCACCAGTGTTAGGACACATATCTTTTTTTGTTACAAAAGCAAAAAAAAAAAAAAAAAAATCTTTGACGGGGGGAAGACAGAAGAAATGAAGCAAAGCTGCAGGTGAGACAAGGGGAACAAATGACTTGCTCTAGTGAGCTCCAAAGAGTCATCTGAAGTACAATATGAGTTAGTATCAAGTTATCAACTTTACTGCACGGCTTTGCTTCTGTATTAAAAAAGTTGAGAGGATATTTGGTTCGCTTGTGATAGTTAGTTACTAGTAAATACCATGCTTCATGGACAATATTTTTGAACTCTGCATACTTCCTGATTGAGTACTAAAAAAGTTTCAGAAATTTTGAAAGTTTCTTTAGATGAGTGCCAGTGATACTTGAAAAAGACCAATCAATTTTGTGATTCGAATACTAATTGGTCTTCATCCTTTTTTTTTTTTTTAAGATTCTAGTTGAGTATGCCTTCATTCAGCATCAAGTCATGGATGACGGATCTTCTTTATACACAGTGAAATGGGGAGAAAAGGGTCAGATAAATCAAGTGGTAAAAAGCTGCATTACGCAAACAAGAAAAGAATCCATCCAGATTATACACAAAGTATTGTAGTTGAATTGAAATTTTATGATCGGATCAAATGAAGATACCTACGAACCAAATGAAGATATAGATGTGATTAAACTTTGGTATGATTTGATTGTAAGGCAAGGGTTGGTTTACAACCTAAAATGTACATTTGTTTGCTTATTCTTATGCAATGCATTAGTAGGGACTAATTGACTATGGCCTTCCTATCTTCCTTCTTGTACCAATCTATATTAACTGCAACAGAACTGTGTTTTGTTTATTTATTTATTTATTTATCCAAAGAATAAGCCAAAGAAAAAAGGAATAATGATGTCGAAGCCATTCAAAACTAGAGAGAGTTCCGGAGGAACTAGTTTCAAATTGATCCTCGGAAACTTGGAAAAGACAAAAGAGAAGATAGTTGCAAACTGATCCTCAGAAACTTAGAAACGACAAAAGAAAAGAAGGTTCCCAGAAATCAAAAAAAGGGTTTTGGTGGGCCTTTTTCTTTTTCTTGCATACGTTACAATGCTAGAGCTCTAAGACATTATATAGATGATATGAGGAATCACAAGTAACAAGAAAGAGCACACCTCGAAGAAAATGAGGAACAACAACCAAATAGAGCCTCAAGGATTTGATGTAGATGAATTATTTCAATTTACCATGGCGAAAAATTGGATGGAAGTGCTGAGAATATGCAAGAGCCACCCTTCGGATGCTTGTAAGGCTAAGCTAACTAAATCAGAAGAGACAGTGCTGCACATTGCTGTCTCAAGTTACCATGTACGTGAAAGGGGAGCTAATGCACTTGCAGATATCATAAGGCAACTAGTAAAATCACTACCAGTGGGCCAGGCAGTCGAGATCCTTAAAGCGGAAAACAAGAAAGGAGACACAGCTCTCCATCTAGCTGCAGCACTTGGCAGTGTCACAATCTGTGAGTGTATAGCCACGAAGGATCGCGAGCTCATCATGATCCGCAATCAGAAGGGTGAAACACCAATGTTCTTGGCAGCTCATCACGGCCATATGGAAGCTTTTCGATGGCTTCATGAGCTCTACAATTGGAATGCAAGAGAACCAGATTATTCACTCTGTAGAAGGAATGATGGGGATACCATTCTGCACTCTGCCATATCTGGGGAATACTTTGGTAAGAATTATGCAAGTCATGCTTTCTTTTCACTCAAAGACTCAAAATGCAAAAATTTATATCATCTAAGAATCACATGAGAGCTCAACAATTTTCTCCATTACAGCATTGGCGGACCTGATAACTATCAAATACGACAGGCTTGTCAATTCTGTCAATGAGGAAGGCATTTCTCCTCTCCACATCCTAGCCAGGAAGCCAAATGTATTTGAGAGCAGCAGCAATCTTCGACTCTGTGATCGAATGATCTATCGCTGTAAGAATGTCCATCAGGAAGATTTTAGAAATTTAAGCATCTCTTCAGCTAAAGCATCTATGATCTTTTTTTTTTGGTAGGAGGCTGTTGGCCTATGTACGTTGCTTCTAACATGCTGCCTTTATCTTTCCTCCAGACCATTGCATTATCTGACTTTGCCAAAATCTGAAAATTTAACTATAGCTTAATCTATTCCTTCCTATTCTTTTCTTCAGCTATCATTTTAAAAAATTTTCCGGTTATTATTTTCCAGTTTCTCCAATATATGATCTTCAAAGTTCCCGAAACATTTGTCATTTCGAGATATCATCAAATCTATCTTGCAATTTCACGCAGAGTTGGTGATTTTAAGCCACTTTTCTAGAGGAAGAATATTTTACATATACGGTTGAATGTATGGTTTATCAGTCATCTTTCCTTTGTTCATCTGAATATCTCCTCAATTTGA